GACACTATTTCCCCCCCCCCCCCTGACCCCAATGATGGGGCACTATTCTCCCCTCCACCACACACTGACATCAATGATGGGGCACTATTCCTCCCACTGACACCAATGATGGGGCACTATTCCTCCCACTGACACCAATGATGTGGCACTATTCCTGCCACTGACACCAGTGATGGGGCACTACTACTCCCACTGACACCAGTGATGGGGCACTACTCCCCCCACTGACACCAGTGATGGGGCACTATTCCTCCCACTGACACCAACAATGGGGCACTATTCCTCCCCCCACTGACACCAACGATGGGGCACTATTCCTCCCCCCACTGACACCAACGATGGGGCACTATTCCTCCCCCCACTGACACCAACGATGGGGCACTATTCCCCCCACTGACACCAACGATGGGGCCTATTCCTCCCCCCACTGACACCAACGATGGGGCACTATTCCTCCCCCCACTGACACCAACGATGGGGCACTATTCCTCCCCCCACTGACACCAACGATGGGGCACTATTTCCCCCCCCCTGACCCCAATGATGGGGCACTATTCTCCCCTCCACCACACTGACATCAATGATGGGGCACTATTCCTCCCACTGACACCAATGATGGGGCACTATTCCTCCCACTGACACCAATGATGTGGCACTATTCCTCCCACTGACACCAGTGATGGGGCACTACTCCCCCCACTGACACCAGTGATGGGGCACTACTCCCCCCACTGACACCAGTTATGGGGCACTATTCCTCCCACTGACACCAATGATGGGGCACTACTCCCCCCACTGACACCAATGATGGGGCACTACTCCCCCCACTGACACCAATGATGGGGCACTATTCCTCCCACTGACACCAATGATGGGGCACTATTCCTCCCACTGACACCAGTGATGGGGCACTACTCCTCCCACTGACACCAGTGATGGGGCACTACTCCCCCCACTGACACCAGTGATGGAGCACTACTCCCCCCACTGACACCAATGATGGGGCACTACTCCTCCCACTGACACCAATGATGGGGCACTACTCCTCCCACTGACACCAATGATGGGGCACTACTCCTCCCACTGACACCAATGATGGGGCACTACTCCTCCCACTGACACCAATGATGGGGCACTACTCCTCCCACTGACACCAATGATGGGGCACTACTCCTCCCACTGACACCAGTGATGGGGCACTATTCCTCCCACTGACACCAATGATGTGGCACTACTCCTCCCACTGACACCAGTGATGGAGCACTACTCCTCCCACTGACACCAGTGATGGGGCACTACTCCCCCCACTGACACCAGTGATGGAGCAACTCCCCCCACTGACACCAATGATGGGGCACTACTCCCCCCACTGACACCAATGATGGGGCACTACTCCCCCCACTGACACCAATGATGGGGCACTATTCCCCCCACTGACACCAATGATGGGGCACTATTCTCCCACTGACTCCAACGATGGGGCACTATTCCTCCCACTGACACCAACGATGGGGCACTATTCCTCCCACTGACACCAACGATGGGGCACTATTCCTCCCACTGACACCAACGATGGGGCACTATTCCTCCCACTGACACCAACGATGGGGCACTATTCCTCCCACTGACACCAACGATGGGGCACTATTCCTCCCACTGACACCAACGATGGGGCACTATTCCTCCCACTGACACCAACGATGGGGCACTATTCCTCCCACTGACACCAGTGATGGGGCACTATTCCTCCCACTGACACCAGTGATGGGGCACTATTCCTCCCACTGACACCAGTGATGGGGCACTATTCATCCCACTGACATCAGTGATGGGGCACTATTCCTCCCACTGATACCAACGATGGGGCACTATGCATCCCACTGACATCAGTGATGGGGCACTATTCCTCCCACTGACACCAGTGATGGGGCACTATTCATCCCACTGACACCAGTGATGGGGCACTATTCCTCCCACTGATACCAATGATGGGGCACTATTCCTCCCACTGATACCAATGATGGGGCACTATTCCTCCCACTGATACCAACAATGGGGCACTATTCATCCCACTGACATCAGTGATGGGGCACTACTCCTTCCACTGACACCAATGACATGGCACTACTCCTCCCACTGCAAAATTACAGTTATGAAGTAGCAATGAAAATAATTTTATGGTTGGGGGTCACCACAACATGAGGAACTGTATTAAGGGGTCGCGGCATTAGAAAGGTTGAGAACCACTGTCCTAGGATGGGAAACATGTTTGTCCCAGATTCAAGCAGTTTGCTGAATATTTTTCTTTTTGATTATGTGGGAGAACTAAGGTTGTCTGGGCTGGCTAGTTAGATAATGTGCCCAGCTGAAGTAGGTCTGGTGGTTTTGGGTTCTATATAAACTCCCAGCCTACTCAGATTTTGCTCCACTCTGGAATCAGTTTTTGTGTATGGCATATTGGGGAGCACTGGACTACCTGTGCCGAGAAATACAGCTTCTGTTTTGTGAGACACAGAGAGATACCTAGGCAGCAGTGCGTTGCTTCAGGTCTGTTAGCCAAGGCTCTATATATTAAAAAGTCACCAAGTGGCAAGGTTTTGGTTTCATGTTTTCTTTTTTTTCAGTTTTTTTCTCCTGCACATAGTCTTTAGTTTAGTATAGTCTTTGTAAATAAATGCAGATGCATAGTGTGACAGTGTGGCGATCTGTCACCATGTGGAAAAGTTATTTCACCCAGGATTCTCAACCAGGCAGGTTGAGGGGCTCCAGAGGGTTGATGTATTGCAGAGGAAACTGGCTTTTCAGTTTCCTCATTTATTCATTAAGTCCGTTTTGGGATCTGGAGCCTGGAGATTTCAAAGAAATCTGGGAGGGATGAAATCTCCAATCCTGGGACCAGGTTTTGGAAATGGCCAGGATACTGATTGCTCAGGTGTGCAGGGCAATCTTTTAGGGTCAGGACCAGGGTTCTGGGCTCCACCCCGGCAGACGGAGTCAGGAGGGCTCCACCCGGAAGACAGGAGTCAGGAGGGGGCTCCACCAAGGAGAAGTGGAAGCCAGACTAGCTGTGTGCTAGTGGCCAACTGTGTGCGAGAGACATAATTTGGGAAGAGTCTGCAGGAAACAGACATCAAACTGGGTACAAGCCAGGAGGCTGAACTTTCATTTGCATGTGTTTGATGGTGGATACCCCTGCATGGGAAGCTTTATTGAACTTTCATTTAAATAAAAGTGGGCTGAAACGGCCTCTAAAAAAAACAAGCGTGTTGCTGTGTGCGTTTAACAAAGCTCTACCATTTGAAGAGAGTTCCCACAATAGATAGCGATGATTTGTTGGGTCCCTCTGTTCTGCACCTGTTATGACCCACTCTCTCTCACCTGAAACTGAGAACACCAACACACCTATTTAACACATTTGGAGTGCTCTCTCCACTCACAAAGTTCCTGACTTATACACTTGAAAGTGCTATCACCACCCACAATGATTCTGAGGTATCAACTGGCACAGTAGCAATGTCAAAGCCACAGCTCTGAAAGGTGGGTCTTTGGAGCAACTGAAACAGCAAATATTTAACTCAGTAGCACAATCTCCAGCAGATATATGGTTTTCTCAGGGGCACCACACTATCCTTACAGTACACAATCTCTAATGGGTAGAATAGTCAGCAACACTTTGTAGCAGAAACTCAGAAACAGTAATCAGTGGCTTTAGGAGAGTTCTCTAGCACAATCACCCCTTTGATGCAGCACAACATTCTCAGTAGTAAAGGCCCTTGCAGTTTTTCTCCAGAAGTGGAAATAGAAAACAGTGCCCTTGTACACAGGCTCCTGATCGCTTAGTAGGCTCACTGCAGCAAAAGACCCCAGTCTCTGGGCTCACATACTCTGGGTACATGTTCCCCAGGCTACTCGCTCTCCATGTGGGTTCCCGGGCAGCCTCCTTGGTCCCTACATGGGTCCTTGCTTTTTCCCAGCAGGCTAGTTAGCAAGGCTAACTCTTGCTGGCCAATAAAATTCATTCTGACTCTGGTAGGAAGTCCTCTGATGCCCCTGTTGCTAGGAGCAAGGTCTCTTCAGCTGTAGCAGCTGCCAATCATAGCTCCCATCCCTCTCTTTGACTATCCATCACCAGAGAGATGTAAAAAATGGTCTTGGATAGATTTATCTTCAGCGCTGCTGGGAGGCTTTTAAAGAACAAAAGCTAGTGCAAATCATCAATATTTATTGTATCATTGTTCAGAGTTGACCATGATACATGAGGAATACGGAGTCATGGGGCAGCATCCTTAGGAACTGGGTGGATGATTAGCTTATTTGGATAGATTGGTAATGGCGACGTTAACATTGAAATGTTGCTGTCAGAGCATGGAAAGTTTTGCATTTAAAAAAAACTTGGCTGGGTTGCCGTTCTTTTGGCAAAATAGCAGAATGGAGGATTTTTGGAGACCTGTGAAAAGAGAAGGTACGTTGATGCATTACCAAATTTGCTTCTGCACCCAACTTGTATAATCTTTAACAAAGCATCTCTATGGACCCTATGTCCAGTGCATTGCTGCCCTTCCAATTTGTCAGCATCATCAAAAGCGGCAATGCCATGAGAGGCAGCAGTATTGACAGTTACTATTGTATGATGTGATTAGAGATGAGCGAAGTATTCAAAAATTCGATTCGACTGATTCGGCGAATTCGTGGACAATATTCGATTCGAGTCGAATATATTCGCTGTGAATTTAACTTAAAAAAGGGTGTTTCTAGGCTTCAGAGAGACTTAATATTAGTGCAGAACACTGTACCTTTAATTTAAATGCCCTTGGAGTCTGCTGGGGAAGAGAAATAATACTGTCAGTCAGTATGACATGCAGATGAGTGCCGTCGATCTTAGAATCACCGCACACTTCACTCATTTGGGCAGTCACGGTGCCAAAACCAGTGTTTGGAGCCACAGTGTGGCGGTGGAGGCAGCAGCAATGGGAGGCCATACAGCAACCTATGACAAAATGGAAACCAGCAGGAGTGTGAGGAGACCTCAAAGTGGCACATGGCAGAGTGGGAGCAATGGGAGGCGGTACAGGGACCCATGTCACACTGTGGACGCAGCAGCAGCATGACGAGGCGTATACGGGGGCCCATGGGAGATTTGGGGCCTGGCAGCACCTATGGGAGGCCTGTAATCTGCCAGCAACCTATGACAAAATGGAAACCAGCAGGAGTGTGAGGAGACCTGAAAGTGGCACATGGCAGAGTGGGAGCAATGGGAGGCGGTACAGGGACCCATGTCACACTGTGGGACCCAGCAGCAGTGTGACCAGGCGGTACGGGGGGCCCATGGCAGATTACAGGCCTGGCAGCAGCAATGGGAGGCCGTAATCTGCCAGCACCCTATGACAAAAAATGGAACACACCAGCAGTGTGTGAGGAGACCTGAAAGTGGCACATGGCAGAGTGTGGCGATGGAGACAGCAGCAATGGGAGGCCGTACAGGGACCCATGAGAGACTCTGGACCTGGCAGCAGCATGAGGAGGCGGTATAGGGGCCCATGGCAGATTAGGGGCCTGGCAGCAGCTATAGGAGGCCCGTAATCTGCCAGCACCCTATGACAAAAAATTGAACACACCAGCAGTGTGTGAGGAGACCTGAAAGTGGCACATGGCAGAGTGTGGCGATGGAGACAGCAGCAATGGGAGGCCGTACAGGGACCCATGAGAGACTCTGGACCTGGCAGCAGCATGAGGAGGCGGTATAGGGGCCCATGGCAGATTAGGGGCCTGGCAGCAGCTATAGGAGGGCCCGTAATCTGCCAGCACCCTATGTCAAAAAATTCAATACACCAGCAGTGTGAGGAGACCTGAAAGTGGCACATGGCAGAGTGTGGCGATGGAGACAGCAGCAATGGGAGGCCGTACAGGGACCCATGACAGACTCTGGACTTGCAGCAGCATGAGGAGGCGGTATAGGGGCCCATGGCAGATTAGGGGCCTGGCAGCAGCTATGGGAGGCCCGTAATCTGCCAGCACCCTATGTCAAAAAATTCAACACACCAGCAGTGTGAGGAGACCTGAAAGTGGCACATGGCAGAGTGTGGCGATGGAGACAGCAGCAATGGGAGGCCGTACAGGGACCCATGACAGACTCTGGACTTGGCAGCAGCATAGAGGAGGCGGTATATAGGGGCCCATGGCAGATTAGGGGCCTGGCAGCAGCTATGGGAGGCCCGTAATCTGCCAGCACCCTATGTCAAAAAAAAATTAACACACCAGCAGTGTGAGGAGACCTGAAAGTGGCACATGGCAGAGTGTGGCGATGGAGACAGCAGCAATGGGAGGCCGTACAGGGACCCATGAGAGACTCTGGACTTGGCAGCAGCATGAGGAGGCGGTATAGGGGCCTATGGCAGATTAGGGGCCTGGCAGCAGCTATGGGAGGCCCGTAATCTGCCAGCACCCTATGACAAAAAATGGAACACACCAGCAGTGTGAGGAGACCTGAAAGTGGCACATGTTTGGGGCATGATTCATGGCGGATTTAGTCAGTTGTGTCAGGAACTGGTGGTTTGAAATCCAGACTAATCCACGCCTGATTCATTTTCACAAACGTGAGTCTCTCCACACTTTGGGTGGACAGTCGTGTCCTCCGGAGTTGCAATACCTCCTGCCGCACTAAACACACGCGCTCCGATGCCACGCTACTGGCCGGGCATGACAGCCTTTCAAGGGCAAATTCAGCTAGTTGGGGCCAAAGGTCAAGTTTCGTTGCCCAGTAGTCAAGGGGATTGTCTACCTCGGTTGGCAGGGTGCTGTCCAAGTAGGCCTAAGCCTGTTGTTTGAGGTCCTGCTCCAGGTCCACCTGATGCTGCTGCTGCTGCTGCGGCTGGTTATTAGTTTCCTCACTGCGCTGGTGAAGAAAGCTACTCATCATCGACTGCAGACTGAGGCAGCAGCTGCTGCTGGTGGAGCTGCCACTGCTCCTACCACCCCACCCCCTCCCCCCTGCTGCCATGGCAGCGGAACGCGAGCGCACAGGGCCCACAGTGTCTGAGGATGGACGTTGGCGCAGACAGGGAGAGACCAGCTGACTACATAGGTGGTTTTTATAGTACGTTATTTTGGCCTCCCTCTCAGCAGGTGTGAAAAAGGCCACCATTTTTGAACGGTAGCGAGGGTCCAACAAGGTGGACAGCCAAAAGTCATCCCTCTGTCTGATGGTTATTATTCGGCTGTCGGCTACGCAAGCAAGCGAGCATGCTATGGGCCATTTGTGCCAAGGAATGCGAGGGACTCCCTGCCTCCATCTCCACAGCATACTGCCACGGTGCGTCTGGGTCCTCTGTCTCCTCTTCCTCCTCCTCTACCAGATGCTCCTGCTCCTCCACTCCTGTCCGCTGAGTGGAAAAACCACCCATTTCACTCAATAATTCCTGAGCACCAATGTCCTCCTCTACCTCCTCCTCTTCTTCCTGTCCTGCCCCCACAGGGGTCATGTGGCGTTGAGATCTGTGCGCCACGTCTACCGCACCCTGACCAGCCATTGTTAACAGCATTTGTTCCAGGACGTGCAACAGAGGAATGACGTCGTTCATCCCATAGTCCTGCCGACTCACGAATAGCGTGGCCTCCTCAAAGGGCCTGAGCAAGCGCAGGTGTCACGCATGAGCTGCCAATGGCTGACATCTAAGTTACACAGGGAGTACCTTTATCCGCTTTTAACATCAGGAAATCTGTGATGGCCTTTCGCTGTTCGTAAAGGCGGTCTAACAATATGTAGGGTTGAATTCCACCTTGTTGCAACGTCACAGCATGAGGAGTCGGTACGGGGGCCCATGGCAGATTACGGGCCTGGCAGCAGCAATGGGAGGCCCGTAATCTGCCAGCACCCTATGTCAAAAAAATTCAACACACCAGCAGTGTGTGAGGAGACCTGAAAGTGGCACATGGCAGAGTGTGGCGATGGAGACAGCAGCAATGGGAGGCCGTACAGGGACCCATGAGAGACTCTGGACCTGGCAGCAGCATGAGGAGGCGGTATATAGGGGCCCATGGCAGATTAGGGGCCTGGCAGCAGCTATGGGAGGCCCGTAATCTGCCAGCACCCTATGTCAAAAAATTTGGAACACACCAGCAGTGTGTGAGGAGACCTGAAAGTGGCACATGGCAGAGTGTGGCGATGGAGACAGCAGCAATGGGAGGCCGTACAGGGACCCATGACAGACTCTGGACCTGGCAGCAGCATGAGGAGGCGGTATAGGGGGCCCATGGCAGATTAGGGGCCTGGCTGCAGCAGCAGCCCGTAATCTGCCCACCCTATGTCACAAAAAATTCCACACACCAGCAGTGGAGGAGACCTGAAAGTGGCCATGGCAGTAATCCCCCCAACCCCCCCAAAAACAAGGGGGGCTATAACAACCACAAATGGCCAGCCCCCCGGCCACAAAATGTGAGGCCCCCCCCACACCCAGTGTGTGGCGGAGACAGCAAATGGGACGGCCGTACAGGGACCCATGACAGACTCTGGACCTGGCAGCAGCATGAGGAGGGGGTACATAGGGGCCCATGGCAGATTAGGGGCCTGGCAGCAGCTATGGGAGGCCCGTAATCTGCCAGCACCCTATGTCAAAAAATTCAAACACACCAGCAGTGTGAGGAGACCTGAAAAAGTGGCACATGGCAGAGTGTGGCGATGGAGACAGCAGCAATGGGAGGCCGTACAGGGACCCATGAGAGACTCTGGACCTGGCAGCAGCATGCATGAGGAGGCGGTATATAGGGGCCCATGGCAGATTAGGGGCCTGGCAGCAGCTATGGGAGGCCCGTAATCTGCCAGCACCCTATGTCAAAAAAACTCAACACACAGCAGTGTGAGGAGACCTGAAAGTGACACTTGCAAAGAGTGTGTCGATGGAGACAGCAGCAATGGGAGGCCCCATGAGAGACTCTGGACCTGGCAGCAGCATGAGGAGGCGGTATCAGGGGCCCCATGGCAGATTAGGGGCCTGGCAGCAGCTATGGGAGGCCCGTAATCTGCCAGCACCCTATGTCAAAAAATGGAACACAACCAGCAGTGTGTGAGGAGCCTGAAAGTGGCACATGGCAGTTAGTGTGGCGATGGAGACAGCAGCAATGGGAATGCTACAGGGACCCATGAGCAGACACTGGACCTGGCAGCAGCATGAGGAGGCGGGTATAGGGGCCCATGGCAGATTAGGGGCCTGGCAGCAGCTATGGGAGGCCCGTAATCTGCCAGCACCCTATGTCAAAAAAATTCAACCACACCAGCAGTGTGTAGGAGACCTGAAAGTGGCACATGGCAGAGTGTGGCGCAAGATGGAGACAGCAGCAATGGGAGGCCGTAGCCTTTGTTTCAGGGACCAGGACAGACATGACCTTGACTGGGCCTGGCAAAAGCGGGGGGGAATTCAAACAACTCCCAGCAGCAGCCTGCTATGTCTGAGGAGGCAGCAAGTGTGGTACAGGGGCCCATGGCAGATTAGGGCCTGGCAGCAGCTATGGGAGGCCCGTAATCTGCCAGCACCCTATGACAAAAAAATGTCAACACACCAGCAGTGTGTGAGGAGACCTGAAAGTGGCACATGGCAGAGTGTGGCGATGGAGACAGCAGCAAAGGGAGGCCGTACAGGGGTTATCCCATGAGACAGACTCTGGACCTGGCAGCAGCATGAGGAGGCGGTATAGGGGCCCATGGCAGATTAGGGGCCTGGCAGCAGCTATGGGAGGCCCGTAATCTGCCAGCACCCTATGTCAAAAAATTCCACACCAGCAGTGTGTGAGGAGACCTGAAAGTGGCACATGGCAGAGTGTGGCGATGGAGACAGCAGCAATGGGAGGCCCCGCTACAGGGACCCATGGAGACTCTGGACTTGGCAGCAGCATGCAGGAGGCGGTACTATGGCAGTTAGGTGGTAGGGCTGCAGTGGAGCTGGTGCTATCTACTCCCTATGTCAAAAAAATGGAACACACCAGCAGCGTGTGAGGAGACCTGAAAGTGGCACATGGCTGCTGTGGCGATGGAGACAGCAGCAATGGGAGGCCGTACAGGGACCCATGACACACTCTGGACCTGGCAGCAGCATGAGGAGGCGGTTACAGGGGCCCATGGCAGATTAGGGGCCTGGCAGCAGCTATGGGAGGCCCGTAATCTGCCAGCACCCTATGACAAAAAATGGAACACACCAGCAGTGTGTGAGGAGACCTGAAAGTGGCACATGTTTGGGGCATGATTCATGGCGGATTTAGTCAGTTGTGTCAGGAACTGGTGGTTTGAAATCCAGACTAATCCACGCCTGATTCATTTTCACAAACGTGAGTCTCTCCACACTTTGGGTGGACAGTCGTGTCCTCCGCGGAGTTACAATACCTCCTGCCGCACTAAACACGCGCTCCGATGCCACGCTACTGGCCGGGCATGACAGCCTTTCAAGGGCAAATTCAGCTAGTTGGGGCCAAAGGTCAAGTTTCGTTGCCCAGTAGTCAAGGGGATTGTCTACCTCGGTTGGCAGGGTGCTG